CTGCGCCCCCGCGCCCGCGGGCCATGGGAGCCGGCCGCCCGCGGGGACCACGCCTCTGAGACCCACGACCGGCCGCCGGGACCATGAGGGGCGATCGGGCCCGCCAGGGCGGAGGGGACCCCAAGGACTTCGGCGCGGGACTTAAGTACAGCTCGAGGCAGGAGGTGGGCGCGGGCCGGGACCCCAGGGGACGAATGTTGAGAAGCTGGCCCGTGCGCCGCGACCCTGCCGCGCGGCGCTGCGCCCGGCCAGGCTCCTCCGCGGTGCCCGTCGGTGGCCCGGGAGCCGGGCGCACAGGTGGAATTTCCTGTTTGGCGGGTACCGGGCTGCGCCGGCCGGGCGGAGGCTGGCCGGACCTTTGAGATAGACCTGCCGCGCGCCGGCCGCGGCGGAGGCGGGAAGCCCCTGGGCTTGGAGGAGCCGGATCGCCGCTCCCACCTGTCCACCCCTCGGTCTGACGCGAAGAAAAGGGGCTCCGTCTGCATCCCTCCGTTAGTTTGGTGGCGTTAGTGCACGTCTGGACCTGGGGGCGGAGGCTCCGAGAGGGGTGACTTGCACGGTAGTTTGGGGTGGGGTGATGTAGGCGGAAGGGAGGTTCCAGGGGGGTTTGGAGCCCAGACATCCTTGGCTTCTGCAGTCATGTGGTGTTTTTCTTTTCCTTCCTGGTCAAAAGACCCTTTGGGACCTTTGCAGGGGGCACTTGGGAACCCGACCTGTGGCTGTCGTTGAAGCTGGAGCTGGGGACTGCAGGGCTGCGCTTGCCGAGAGGTCTCCAGGAGGGAGAAAAGGGATGTGGGAACGTGTGTCTTGAGTCTTTTGGAAGATACTAAGACAGGAAGCTCTTTGGCAGGAGGATCAATGAAAGACCTGTTGAAATACCTCAAGAACGATTACATCTCAATGTGCAGAGCTGGGGATGGATCCTTAGTTGCTTTATTGAAGGAACACGCAGGTGGCAGTGCCCTGGTGAGACCAGCAGTGGGGACCCCAGGCTTTCTGAAAGACCAGAGCACACCAGCCAGGGTCAGTGTTGAGTGGGCTCTGAGAAGCAGTGGCTGCTTGGTGAGGGAGTTTTGCTCCTTTGCAGACAATGGCTGCCCTGCCCTGCTGGCCTCACTTTCTCTGGGTGTTCCTGGGTCCCATAACTCTCCCCATTGCTGCCATGTCAGGGCAGATTTGGGCACTATTTCTAATCGATTCCTTTTCTGCAAGCAGCATCCTAACTTAGGGAACTTGAGGAAGACTGGCTTCTGGGGCTGCGTGGCTACTCAGACCACACTTAGCAATTGAGATTGGGCACGTTGTTTTCTCCTCTTTTCCACCAACAGGGGAGGAAGCGGGGCTAAGCCGGGAGCTTGTGTGCTTGGGCCCCTGTTCCTGGCTGTGCCTCTGCCCTGCTGTGAGGCAGATTTACCTTCTCTTCCTTTCCATAATTGCGATGTTTGTGCGTCCTTGATAATTGCCTACTTGGGACTCCAGACTCCTTCCTCCTCAGCAGAGCCTACTGTTTGGTGTTTGTTATTTCAGGGATGTTTTTCTCCCCTCCCTCCAAGTTCGTTCTTCCCTTTTTGGGACTCTCCTGCTGACTCTGAGAGGGCTGCATCTTCCCAGAGTCACAGCCCAGCCACCTCTCTGTGCTGCCTCCTTGCCACTCAAGGGAGATCAGGCTGAAGCTTACCTCCCACGCTTCCCTGGGCTCCTTCATCCAGCTACCTTCTCTTGTCACCTTCACCCTTGCTCATTTTCTCTTCTTCTGTGAAGCTCATTCATTCTTCACAGCATTGGGTTGGTCCTTCACCCCAGATTCTGTAGCCCCCTCCCGCCACCCACATGCCTTGTTCTCTGTCTTTTCTCCTGTTGAAGCTCATTGAATTAACTGAGTACCTAGTTCTGGGCCAGGCAATGCTGGAGGGAGGGCTTTCAGGGTCCACTAAGATGCAGTTGTTTCCCTTAAGGAACTAACTGTCTTGAGAGCAGAACTAAGCAACACATGCTGGAGTTGGATGTGAGGCAGTGGGTTCTGGCGGAAGTGGCAGAGCTCATTTCCACTCCTTCACATTTTCTTCCCCACCCCAGGCCTCTCCAGAAATCTCTGTCCCTGGGATCACCTTGCAGTATTTGTTTGCAGCTGAGGTCTCATTCCCTGACCAGGAGGTGTGGCTGCTGTCCCTGAATTTGCTGTCTGTGTTAGAACCTGGTTCAGGTCACGCCGGGCCCCAAAGGGGCACTGTTGTTTTGGAGTTCCTTTTCCTGGGTCGCTCCCACCCCTGCATTCCTGTTTGGCGGCACTTGAATCTGGCTGCCTCCTTCCCAAGGCTGACAATACTGGGCCCTGCCTGGCCCCCACCGTTCCCATCCAGTGTTGTACATGGCCTCCAGGGCCTCATGCAAGTTGCTGTCTGGGGATTGTGTGAGCTGTGCCTGCATGTGAGTGGGTATGCAGATGGCAACGGTTATGGCCACTGATGAGAACTGGAAAACTTGCCTCGCTGAGCATTAGGTCACTGTTGGATATTTGATGGTGACTATGAAGCTGCCTTGATATTCTACTGACTGCTTGTCAGGTCACGATCGCCTCAAGTAAGACTGAGCATCCCTCAGGCATCTGGAGACCAAGGTTGTTAAATCAGATGTTGGGGTTAAAAAATCAGATATCTGGGGGCTAGGCTGTACAACTCTGGCTATTCAGAGTCATCTGCTTGTTAATTGGTCAACCATTCACTGATTCCTTCAGTCACTCATTCATGTAACAAATGTCTAGTAGATACCCACCGACTGAGCATATGCCAGGTGCTGGGAAGTAGCAGTGAGAAAGATCCCAGTCATAAACTCCTGCCTCATCCAGTGTGGTGTGGAATACAGGGATCTAAATTCTTATTCATGGGTACCCAATTCTGTATAAGCCCAGGGTGGGCACTTAGGAGGGGCCTCTGTCCAACCCAGGGTGGGAGGGCCAGAGTAGGCAAATTGGGACTGGAGACATCTGTGATGCAGTGACAGGACTGTCCAGTGTGGAGCCAAAACCTGGTGCTACCAATGTCTAGCCACGTGATCAGAGATGTTACCCAATTTTTCTAAGCCACAGTTTCTGCTATAAAATGGGGATGACATATGTGTTCCAGGTTTGTTGCAAGAATTAAGAGGGATACTTTACATGAAAGCCCTTTATAAGTTGCAGCCTGGTGTTTACATCATGCAGATTGAGGTTTTGAGCTGGAAAAACCCTGGAGACAAACAGGAAGGTGATATAGTATCAGTAGGATTCATGTCCAGAGCCTGAGAATTGTCAGGTTGTCAGTGGAGCCCTGACATTGCAGAAAGGCTGGCCTGCTCTAAGGAACATGGGGAAATGCTTTGAGGAGTGTTGGGAAATAAGACCCCGGCAACAGAGACTTCTTTCTATGGTCTTCTGGTTTTCACGTCCTTCCCTTTACCCAGGTTCTAAGAGAAAGAACTTTCTCTTAGAAAAGAAAAGGCGTGCTGGCTGCTCATCTCTTTCTTCCTCTCATCACCTCCCCATCTTACCATAGATAAATGAAACTTTTATTTCGTTTTTAGAGCTGAGAGTCTTGCTGTATTGCCCAGGCTGCACTCAGACTCTTGGGCTCAAGCAATCCTCCCACCTCCTGAGTAGCTGGGACTACAAGTGTGAGTCAGCATGCCTGATAAAAGTTTAGAGAACTTCCCTCTTGTTGTCTTGAACATGTGCTGGGAAGGTGTGTGCAGGGAGTGAGGGAAGGAGTAGGGAGAGTGGAAAGCAGTGGGAGACTAGGGTTGTTCTGTAGGGGGGCTCCCGGGTGCTGAGGTGAACTGGAGCCTGCTCTCTCCAGGGGCTTCCTAGAGCCTTGCCTCTATCATGGTTCTAGGAACGTCTGAAAATTCACTGCCCTCATTTGAGAGATGGGAAGACTGAGGAATAGGAGATGGCCACTTCTGTAGATCAGAAGCCCAAGTCACCGGCTGCCGGAGAGAGTGGTCAGAGAGTGGATCTGCTCAGAGCTGGCTTGTTGGTTAGAGGTCTTGTCAGCACAGGCTGTGGAAGGAGAACTGATCGTGGCTCCTTCCCCCCACCTGGCCCTCACTCTGCTCCCTGGGAGTCAGATTGCCTGCCGCTGTGGCCAGTGGCCCCTGTCTCTCAAAACACTGTGGTCCTGGAATTTCCCTGTTTTCTGTTCCTTCTCTGGTCTGTGGTTCTGCCCAGGCTGTGGCTCATGTCTCTCCTAAGAAAGAAGATCTGTTTTTGGAAGAGGAGGAAGGATGTGACAGGTCCCAAAGATGATGTTGCCTCTGCTATTACGCTGTGGCTACTAGAATGTCTAGAATACTAACAATCATTAATTAATATGATGATTCATAGCGTTTGTTGAGCACATACTATGTATTACCCCTTTTAGAGGTAAGTACTATTATTATTATTACCCTCTTATAGGTGAGGAAAGTGCAGCACTAGAGAGGCTAAGTAACATGCCTGAAGTCGCAGAGCAAAACAGCAGTGTAATCTGGATTGGACCCAGCTAGGCTGGCTCTGCCGTATTCTACCTGGACTGCTACATGCAAAACAGAATTGCCAGCCCAAAGGGCTTAGGGGGGAATGGATTGCTAATGCTAAGAATTCATGTGATTTGAGTAAGAAACTGTGTTTCTCTTTTCAGAGTGTTTCTGAGATACCTAGGACTAGATTGTAAAAGGTAGTGTGGGAACGGGAACTTCTGGGCTTCTCCCAGGGTTCTCACCCTGGGTGGCATTGAGTGGTGAGAAGTGTGTTTGGAGTTGGCTCAGAGCTCGTGGGCAGTAACTGCCTTTTTCCTTTGTTAAGATCTTTTCCAGAAGCAGGTCTCTACTAAAAATTCCATCTTGGCCATTCGTATTTTCAGAAATCGCCTATTCTGTCTGGACTTAGCAATATCTCAAGGTTTTCCCCAGAATCCTGTGGTAGTTGGCTAACAGGTCAGAATCTTGGATCATTTGTCTCTCTTTGGCCCACACTGATGATGCTGAGGTGGTGATGATAATGGTGACGGTGGTGGTGAAGAGCTGGAGACTATGATGATGGTCATTTCTACCCTTCGCTAAATATGTACACCTCAATTCATTATCTCACTTTACCCTCGCAGCAGTTATATGGAAAAAATGCCTTTACAGATGAGAATACTGTAAGGGTTTG